TTTTGTCTTTTATATATATATAGCTGTTAATGGTATAATAGATTTGATAAGACAAATGTGATGTATGTTCACTCAATATATTAGCTACATTAGGTCTTCATACCCATTGCTGTTTCCTAGTTCACTGGACAAGTGTGCAAGAAGTTGAGAGTTCTCTTCAAACATTCTCATCTCAGTTCTGCAAGAAAGTTGAGCAATGACTAGGAGAAAAATGGCTCTTTGGCACTTGTCACTTACTGTCCTTGATAAAATCACTTCAAAATGCTTTGAAGGGGCACTCCCTGGGAAAGCCGCATTCTCTCAGTGGATGCTCAGGTGAGTTGGGGAGTGGACTACCTTCCTCTATTGTGATCTCTTCTCTAGCTTAATTCTCCTGTTGATGGGAGGACAATAACATAGGGCAGAGATATAAACAGTTGGTGTTGCGCTATCTGCAAAGTTGTTCGGGTTTTCATACGCATGCATTGCTCTACTGCAGCTGAAGAGAACATTCTCAAATTGCAAACTGGCCATTCAGGTACACTATAGTTTAGTTTAATTATGGCTCTGCAAAGCAATTGGGATATTCCTAAAGTGATTGTGTGAATGAAGACTCTCTCTTTGATATGTTAAAGAAGCCATGCTTCAAAGGGTGGCCTCAGCTGTCTGCAGGGATTGCATAGGCCATTCTTCTCCTGGGTCCGCTAGTGAAGCATAGGGCATTTGCAGAGACAGGTATTAAAGTTGCTGATCAAGACTGGCAAAGAGGCTGCCTAACCTAACATTTCAGAGAGGGCTTTATGAAAAAGTTCTGTTGAATACTTTGTACAGCCCTTTTCCTAACATGGTATTTGCTGTTTTCTCATGCTAAATCAAAATGGATAGAAAAAAAGTTTCTGCTTAGGCATTATCAATCCAAATTTCATCAGCTTATTAACTGAGGGCTTTTTCCCTGAATGTGAGCCAGCCTACATCAAAATGCCAATTAAACAGTTGAGTTCCTAGTTATAACTTCTTTTATGCAGGATCCAATCTGGGTCCGTCACCAGGACCAGAAGTTTTGTCTTCTGAGCTTTCAAACTCATGCATGAGCCCATCTTCAGGGAACTTCCTGTAGCAGAGTGTGTGCTTTGGGCTGTTCTGTGTGTGGTATTTATATGGTGCCTGTTGTGTGGCTTTTTAAGAATCCGACCCAGATTGGATCCTGCAACATTATCCTGGGACAAGTATATTCACCGTTATTCATAACATCGTTTATATCCAAACTGAAAATCACCTTAGTCCTACTGAATCCCATTTTTGCACATATCTGTTGTGAGAATATAGTCCATTTAATATATTCTTTATTGCATTTACTCTATCATAAAAATTGGCTCACGAGTACCTAGTCTTCAGGAATGCTTGTTTACTTTCAAAAGTGCCCTGAAAGTGTAAATAAATACTTTCTACTAGATCATTCCATCTACATCGTTAAGACATTTTAGCAAAATAATTCCTCTGCAGAAATAATTCTTCTGCAGCAGGTTTCCTTCTATGTAACTTACAATTTTGACTGGCATTTTTTAATCAATGCATCCAAAACAGGCATTTTAACCTCTGTCTTCTAGTTTTTAAACTGCTATTCCTCCCTGCTATGGCTCCTTTTTTGAAGAGTTAGCATAACATGGGTTTCTTATAGTTCCCTAATACAGGAGCTGGCTTTATGACCATATGTATATTTTTGATTTTTTAACCAAAAAGATATGTAACCAAACATTGCAAGTTTCATAGCTTCTTCTCAAATTGGAATAGAAGGACCATCAGCAAGAGTGGATATTGTGGAAGTTGTAAGCAAGCTTAAGTTAAAACTGTGTGTGGCATTCTAATCAGACCTGTATTAAATCATCATATAACATATAATATTGCTTCCGATTTTGTTTTTGAACCAAATGAGAACTCTATAGCTTTATTAATGAAACTTGAATACTTATACTGTATATGTTGGTATTTTCCATGTGCAACATTATATGTGAAATATATACCAATTTCATTTCATTTCTTCAGTCAATGGGAAAAGATACTTAAGAACTGGATAAGCAACTAACTCCTTTTTTTTAAAAGTGACTATTTGCTTAGCTAATACCCGATTAAAAGAGTTGGAACACTGAATACACTGAAGAATGACATGGGGGAAATAATTATTTTCCATGCTATAATGAGTCCCTGATGAAAACATGGGGCTACATTCAGAAACTTGGACAAACAGCAACAAGGTTGTGTTCTCTTCCAGCTCATTCTGCTATGATGAAAATAGTGCATCAAAATTTGAAATGGGGAGAACAGATTCTGTTGTCGGATAACATAAACCAATTTAGAGTCGCAGAAGCAAGCAGCAGGGCGCTCGATTTTGCAGCATAGATAGGTAAACTTCGTGTCTACTAATCTACAGAAAATTCATAAAGGAAAGAAATGGGAATGAATAAAAAATTGAGGTCTCATTGCTGAGCTGCTTTCTCTTCATGAGGGTGGATAAAACATTTGGAACTCAGAGCAGTTTGAGCTTACAATGAATTAAGTTCAAATCAGGTTGTTGCGAACATTCCAGAAATGCTTTGCACTCAAAACTCTTTCAAATTTGCCAACAGGCATTTTGTATCCCAAGAGGATTTTTTTTTTCAACTGCCTTACCTCATTACTTCACCATTTTCTGCCAGAGAGCAATTCTGATTCTTGATTAGACTGAAGAATCACAGTACAATCCAGAAATGTGAGTTAAAAAGAACCACAATTACTAATCTGCTGTCCTTTTGGTTTTTTGGTAGAATTGCATTTATTTAATACAAACATCTCTCATAAATTCAGTTGGTTATTACCACATCAGGGCTTTGAACGTGGGCCAGAGAATTTATTTGTGAATCTTAACATTTTTAATTCAATAAACCTATTAGCACATGGCTGTTAAATTTATTTTCTTGATTAACATGTTCTTGACAAACAAAAATTAGCCATATCAAAATATCTGATGAACATTGATTATAAAAGTTTGACAATTTAATAGAAATTAGTATGAATTCAAAACAAAAAGGTTTAAATACTGTCAGAAATATAAAATGTATGTAACAGGCCAAAAAAAATCTACATACAACTGTCATTTAACCACTCTCCATAAATTTTCTTTAAGGTTTAAAAAAAAGCCGTTCTTTAGAATGCATTTTAGAGTCATTTGTACAAACATTAAATCATGGCCAATGATTCACAACAGTGCAATAGGAAAAAGAACAACACCCACCACATAAAAATAAATATTACAGACAGAAACTAAATACTATAAGCACCCTATAGAGTTCAATTAACATCATCCACTTCAAATTGAATTGGGATTTTAAATGATGTGGCTCTGAAAAGCCACAATTTATTGTAAGAATTCACTGCTGGCAATGGTAACTAATTAAAGCATAAGGCAGCTGAACATTTCCATCACAAATTTATGGGTATATATTACCAGCTTTTTTATTTATCGGAATCACCCTCTTTTAAGCACACAAAATGTCATAAATATGCTTCCCTATTGGGTTTTTTTTAGGAAACATTAGGAAGGGCTTGGAGATGGACCTTCTTCCCCCCATTGCATTGTGCTTGACAGGACCTCCAAAGTACTTACAACACACTTTCAAATGTGTACCAAAAACTGGTACAAGTTCTATAACAATTATGGAGCCCTTTCTGAATGTAATACTTCTTTGAAACCCACTAAAATGGCCGAGATTATTTTTTTATCATTCTCCTCGATGCCAAGATCCTGATGAAGGCTTGCACACTTCTGTGTTGCACTGTACTTCAAAGTGCTCTCAATCCATCAAAGAAAGAGTGCAACAAAAATCAGCACCAACTCCCTATCCTAAATCATGGAACCTTGATAATCAACAACATTCACTAATTTCTTTAAATTATCAAAAGAAAAAAAAAAGAAAGGTCAGCATTATGAGGTTTGCTATAAAACCTACAAAGTGTTTCATTCTTATTCCTAATTAATTGGCAAGCCTAGTAATTGGTTCTACATATAACTGCATTGACAATGTTCAAGAGTTCATAGTGGATTTATGGATATGTGCTTATCAATCTTTTCAGCTTAATTTTACATGTACTTTCATAAAGCTCTAAAAAAAAAGTCAAATGAAAAGAACACGTTACATAATACTAAAGTTTTGAAGATCTTCCATTGTTTCGGGCACATCTATTTTGTAAAGCTCCTTTGTTACTGAAAGGCACAAGTAAGAGTGAATAAAAACAATTATGAAGAATGAGAGCAAAAAATTACAAAGCAAATAGATGAATGGGATATGGATTGGACCTCCCCATTCTTAACCAACAGCCACTTTTCATAGTTTCTTTATCCCCAACACAGACCACTGTGGAACATCTATTTTGCTGTGCCAACTGTGGCTTCTCTATAAACACTTAACAGACATCTGCACTGACTAGAGATGTATCAGCCTTGTAAAAAAAAACTTCATAAAAGCCATTTCTATGCTAAGAGGAAGTTTCTTTTCAAGACCAGGGTGGAAATGCTTCTTACCAAACTTCCTTTTAAACTAGATTACTCCCAAATGGCAGAGTGCTCTCCCCTCTTCTGCTGGTCAGAGAGAAACATGGTTGTCTGCTTGTGTGGCCAGAAAGATGACCAAATGGAGAGGCGGGGGGGGGGGG